CTCTACATATACCCTATAGCATCGGCTAGGTCATTGACTCATTGAAGTCCTTCGTATGATATACTTGCTGCGTAACTGCTTTACTATACCACCCGGTCCATGATATCCCTTCAAGTGCATGCTATGATCTTCGATGAGTACAAATCTTGGTGGAACAAATTGGCTGGTGATGCTCATTGTACCCATTTACGGGTTCAGCTGTGAACTTTACGGGCACCTGACGGGTACGGGTCAGTTGTACCCAAGCCATACCCATACCGCAATGGGCTATCCAGGAGTGCTCGACGATACGGTACTGTGTATGCTACGGCCGTAATACTGTACTACGGGTAATATGGGCAACTACGACCAATTTCTGGCATGATAGATATAGTCGTAGGTAAGGTAAAATCAATGTTGAAGCCCACAAAAGGGTTACTGCACACTAATAACCTTTAAACGTGATGTCGGTAGTCTCATGAGCCTCTGAATACCTCTCAGACGACTCACGAGTGCACATTGCAACGAGACAGTGCTGTGTGATTACTCTCCGACATTGGACATCCGTACACGCTCCCTACCTGAGGTTACACCAAGAACAAACAAAAAAACCTTCAGTCATCTTCAATAGGGCGTAGTATTGAACCGTATTGTGACTATCCTGTAATTTGCCTCCGTGCGATCGGCCAAAGATCGGCCATAGTAGTACCGGTGACTTATCGCCGGCAACTAAACGTCGCAACTTGAGAAAAAACTACGACCATGCTGCTTACTATCCCCATCCCTGCCCTCTGTTACTGAAAAACCTCATCCTGTATATCTGAGTAAATCGGCATGCCTGACTTGGTTTCTTGATTTCCGATCCTCCTCGACTGATCTTGTTGCGGCTGTTGTTGATCAGTGATCCTCGACTGGTCACTGGATTACTACGACTTTTGGCTTCAGACTTCCTGCTTCAAGATGGTGCGGCTACACTACAGTTTTGAACTATGCGCTTATGTCGGGGGATAATTTCTTATATATTCGACGTCTTGGCGCCTGATCAATATCGTCTTCATCTTTTGTGCTTTCCCTGGATGGAAACGCGGCTGGTGATTATTCCGGTACTTTCCCGACGTTAACCGTTTTACCGGGTCCATAATTAACCTGCACGCTCTACGCTTCCCAGACGTAACCTTCGCAGGAGGATCTGCTGAAGTCATTTCATTTCTTCATCTTCTACGTAGATGTTCTTCATTTGTGTTCTTGCCTCAGAGATATCGCCTTCACGTTCACACTTCATCGATTCCGATAGCGGAATGCGAGCCATACGTCGTCATGTCGTTTTGATATGCGGCGGCGGCGGCATGTGTCCTTTACTGCCCTTACTGCCTCCCTGTATCTGGTCAGCCCTAATCTCGGGACCTGGCCCGTTCTCTTACTTTTTTTTCTTTTGCACCCGTCCAAGTCTTTCAGGATCACCTTTGTTAAAATATTGAGGGCTTGCGATCTCTATAGCAAATTTCTTACTACGGCTGGCTCGGTGTTATCTTGGAACATTGTCATCGCATCCCTGACACAGTCTGACCTATCACACGGCCATTCGGTCTTTAAATCGATGTTTGTACGCAAGGGTCGGTGTGATTTGCTCTGATTTTCCTCATGATATACTGATTGATATCAAACGTCCTGGTAAACACTCAGCTATATGGACCCTCGAATATTTCGGTACCGCACCCGTTCGTGTTTCGTTGATGTCATTTACTCCCGTAAACTGGGCACGGGTCCAAAAGTCTTTTATTATCTGTCCAATGTCATGTCCACTTCTCATCTTTTCTTCACTCGCACTTATCCGCATGTTTTGATGAGATTGGGACTAACGATTAGGAGGATCTGATTCAAGCCCGAGCTTATTTTGACCGGGCCGGCAAGTAGGCTACTATACCTCCGTCTTGTGGCCCCTTTCACTCCTATGCTACTATTTAGGCAGGGTTGTCTCTCGCTATTGTATTCCTGCCGCAGTGCCTGCCATTCCTGCCTTCAGCTTCAGTATTCACACACACGACGAACGCCGCGCGTCATCATTCAACATTACCCTTCCCCATAAATTAAAATTTCATTACCTCATGTCAATATGACGTCAGTACCGACGCTTCTTTTGTTAGATGACATCAAGGACTGGTTTAGACTCGCTTTTGAGCAGTCCGCCTGTCATTGTAAGGATGTTCAACAGTTTCTGGAAAACATTTCTATCTTCCCTATCTCTCTGATTTCCCAAAGTGTGCGAAATTCGAGCGAAAAAGGAGAAAAGGAAATTAGACCGAGCCATGACGTCAGCACGTGGGACAATGACGTAGCCCCTCACGACCGGGCAAAAAGCAGGTCAATTTGAATTTTCCTTTCTTATCCATCATCCCCCATCACCTGTTACTCCACACCGCCTACATCGTACTCATCTCCACGTATTTCTTCCATTCACACTTGCACCAGCCTCGAAATTCCAGCCATTCAAGCCCAGCGACAATGGGCGGAGACCACAAGTGCCCCGTTTGCCAAGCGACGTTCACCAGACCGCAGCACGTCGCGCGCCATATGCGTTCGCGTGAGTCCATTCCGCTCCACTTTGTTTGACTTTGTGGTGCTCATTATTCTCTCGTATTTCTCCACCATGTCTCCTCCACCAACTCTCCACTTTTCGTTACGAATCGCCCGGAATCCTGATTCTCAGATACTGGTGACCGACCGTACAAATGTACGCACTGCGGCGACCAGTTTGCGAGGAGGTACGAGTAAATTTCCTTCAGTTTTCCGTGATTACTACCTCACGGGTTTCCTAGCGACCTCCTCTCACGACACATCAACAAATGCCACGCTTCCGCGTCGACGACGACCAACGAGAAAGGCAACGGCCGACGGAAAGCCTCGGCTACGCGTGCTACAACCAGCAAGCAAGCATGCGACCAATGCGTGCAGAGTAGTCTGCCCTGTGATGGGTGTAACCCGTGCTGTGAGTTTTCTTTTCATTAATTTTGTCCTGGTTAGCTTCGACGCCGTTGGCCGGCTTGACACTTCATTTGAGCCGACCCTCTATGAGGTACTGATCATGGAACTGTCAAGTCTACGCCATTGGCAGACCTTTAGCCTACATTTCTGGTGAGCGGCTATTTCGGACCATGAAGAACCTCCGAAAATGGGTGGATACCGTTTTAAACTTTGACACAGACTTTTGACCACAACGAAACGCTTCGGGATTCCATTTAATGGCGAAGCCGAAGCGTTTTGTTGTGGTCAAAATAGTGTGCCAAATTTGCGACTCTATTTCGGCGATTTTCCTTGCTTTTTGGCGCGAAATTGTCACCTGCCAGGTTTACTTCAATTCTAAACTTGTGCTGATTAATTTCGCCGTAGCCAAATGCGTGCAACGTAAATGTCGTTGTACATTCGTCAAGTTTCACCGACAGACAGCGCCGGTTGGCCCAGGTCACAATCCCAATCCTTCGGCTCACATACCACCTACTGTGCAGCGATCTTATCTTCCTCCATCCGTGTCAGTATCATTCCCAACTCAACAACAATTTTCTTTCCCACCTCCGCAAATGTATCCGCCCAACCTCGACGACTACCAGTCCAAGTACCGCGAGCTCATGCATACCCAGACGCAGCAGCGCAGCCCAGAAATGTACCATCCGACTCCGACATGGATGAATTACGGCGAGCCTGCACACGATATTCTCGGAGGTTCGAGTCTCACGAGAACACATTCGCTAGAGCATCATCAAAACCACGGCTCCCACTCCGATTCAAACCAGATCTATGGCGGAGGTGCGGGCTGGGCGAGAAGAGATTCTTTTTCAGAGAGTGGAGGCAGCAGCGCCGCAAGTAGCAGCGTCCACTTACCCCTTTACGAGAACGTTGATCCTTCAACAGCGGCAGCAGCGGCAGATGCACGCCTGGAAGCATTCGGGCTGATGAGCCTTGAGGAACCCAACGCGCTCTATGATGGAGCTGCACCGTTCTTTGATGGTATTTTCCCATCCTCATCGGCGCAACAGACATCTACAAGCAATCATGTGCCGGTAGCCAGCATGATGCAGATTCCAACTCCTCGCGAAGCGGAGACCAGGGAACTCCGTGAGTTTTGGAAGGAGTATATGCGCAGCACACCCTTAAATCATCCAGCTAACCACGCACATTCGGCATCGCCCCCTCATCCGGTAATGAGTCCTCCGAACGGCAGGAAGCGTGTGTCCAGTTTACCGAGCGTGAAGACGCCAACGGAGAATATCGTCGGAGGTGGAGAGGCGAAGGGTGGGTTTGAGGATGCGGTGATGGCTCGGAAAACGCTCGGAAATTTGAGTATGGGGGGAGTACAAGGGATTAAAGGACGACGGATGACACATATCAATCCCCCGTCGTTATCGACGTCAATTCCTCCACCACCGTCGCACCGCCAGCAGCCGGTAAACCACGGATCCGCGTACGGATTTTCCCTTGCTGGGGCGATGGGCGACGGTGAGCGACCGAATTTTAAGCGACTCCCTAGCCAGGTGCTGGAACCGCTCGGGGGATCCAAACGGGTGAGAGGTGATGGAAGCGACGACACCGGAGGAATGGGGATGATCAAGGTGGAAAGTGGCGAATGACTATATGAACGGTACGCAGGTTCGCTTGCATATTAGACAAGCCAGGAGAGTATTTCTCTTCGTTCTATTTGCTTTGATGCATTTATGTTAGATACCAGTTGTTTTGTCAAAATATCCAGATGATAATTATTATTCGATGTGAGCGGACATTGTATCCGTCGGAACGAGACGCAAAAGAATGACGGAGTTACCCCACTTGGGGTCATGTTGTCCACACTAGAAGGGGCTTTGAAGAGGAAAGACCATGTAGCGATAGCAAGAAGTAAGCGGGTATTTTGGTCACAATATTGGAAAGCAATATACACTCTGGAGTCTGGGAACAAATCTTCATAAGTTTTCAAAATTCGAAATCGTATTAAACGACTGAAAAACAATTTCCGAAAACAGGGATCAACCTAGCTCTCTGGCTGGGAGTCGAACCCAACTTTCGCGCGTACGGCGAACCTGACAGGTGCGTGTACTAACCGATACACTACCAGAGGTATGTGGACCAAGAATGGAAAAGCCTAAACATTATCTGAATGGCACTCGCCTACAGACGTGCTTTTTTTGTTTCTTCTCCGTAGTCGAGTGTTACCTCATAATACACAATGACACCAAATATAATCTCCTCGCCCGAAGGCTACTGTTATCTCCGAGGCTTTCACGTCGGACGCACTGTTTTCGTCTACCTACCCAAGGTCCCAACTTTTAAGTACACCCTGATAGTAAGGTGACTAGATCTAGATGATACATCTCATTTTCGGACATGACTGGCCCGTGTACTAAGCGATATACTACCAGAGACTTAGCCAACTCCAATAATTGAGCTTAATATCGTCTTTTTGGTGATCGCGTAGGGGGGTCAGGACATCGGTCTTCCCCAGGAAGTCTGCGTGGTGGTTGCAGGGAACTGTGACTCTGCAATGAGTATAGGCTTAGGAAGAAAGTTGAAACGCATTTATGCACACCCAATTGGGTGTTGTAGGACTCGACACCCTAGAGTGTAATGCCCACTAAAACTCCCTTTACTGCAACTCCTGGGTTCGAACTCTGCTTTCGCAGACTCTAGGATTTTGGTTACGCAAGACCGAGGACCCGCTCCTGGTCCGCTCCATTGTCTGGCGGTCCCCAGACTTGCTAAATGTGTTTGCCTCCTTGTTGCTTCCTTTGCTCGACTCACCGTTTTTTTTTTCCTGTAGTCTGTTGTTACCATGATACAGTGATACGAAATATAATCTCCGCATCGTCCGCATCCCGAAGGCCATTGTTATCTCCGAGGCTCTCGCGTTCTAAACATAAACGGACGTACTTTTTTTTGTGTCGCTTCTTCATACATCTGAGCGTTTGCCTACCGAAGTACACCCTAATAAGGTATAGATGATACGTCTCATTTCTCGAGGTCCGACTATTCCAACTGATCATCTCGATTCTCATCTGGACCTATAAGCGGCTCTCGTGCCACCTACGTAGAGCTTGAGTAGCCGAATGCCCCACTCGGCCTGGGGTGGGAATTTCAAGGTGTTATATCTGAAATTTTGTTTGCCAACTCCATCGAAGCCGCTCTACCCATGCAAATAGACGTTCGTCGGTAACTTCCTGACTCCAGAAGGCATTAAATCGTGCACGACTGTTGTCAGTGCTGAGATTCGAGCCTAATCACGAGGGCTACTCATACAGGAGACCGCTGCACCATCGGGATGGCTAATCTTGCTCGAGAGGTCAGAATAAGGTAAAGTCTCATTGCAACCGCCGCATGGCAGTCGGAAGTATTCTATGCCTTCAGTTCAATCAAACCATGACCTCCCGGACCACTTCTGGTTTGCATACATCGATATTTTGTTAACCTTCACACCCTCGAGACCCTTAATCACCGGACCCAGTTCTCGATACGTCGAAATCGTACAACATTTCAACACGACAACGCCTTCCCCTGGATTCGTAAACCGCGCCACCAGCAACCGCTCCAATGTCTCGTGCCCAAATCCAAAGTTATCGTCGAGTTTCAGCTTCTCCAAACTTGGACACAGCTCGCCACTGGCGAGCGCTTCAAGGAGAGTATCCGTGACCACTGGGGATCGCGGGCTATGGGCCTCATTCCAAGGGTGGTCAAAATCCTTTATCCTAAGCTCCGCGAGCGAAGGGAGGAGGTCTAGACAGGAAATAAGGACCTCTGTCGAGGTAATGGATAGATGTGACCGGAGCTTGAGCTTCCTCAGCGTGTGAGAGCAATGTGTAATGAACCCACGCAGTGCAATGAGGGAAGCGTCATCAACAGTAGCTTCATGGTGGAGCCCGTCGACATCTAGCAGTTCGAGGGCCGGAGCTACGACGTATGTGAAGAAGTCGGGTAGGTTAAGGAAATTTGGGGCTGCTACAGACGGATCACGGAACGCGCATGCTTCGATTCTTAACGACTTGAGGTGAGCAAGATGGGCGGTCACAAAGACTACAGGGTCTTGAGCGTCTGGATGAAATCTTTCAGAGGTAGAGATACGGCAGTGGATGAGATTTGTGCATGCAGCGAGGATTACGAGCATCTCAGGGGTGTTTATATCCCAGTGTTCGCAACGCTGAAGAGTAAGACTGGTGATGTTCGCGAGGAGTTCCAGGAAGGAGCCCTTTCGAAGGTCCGGTGAGAACGAATTGAAGGAAATTCTACGAAGATTTGGTGCAGTCGCAGTGGTAAGAAAAGGAAACTGGATATGCTCGAACTGAAATGGCGTATGATAGTCAGACGTGCCCAGCTCTATCGATTCGAGAAGATCATATTGTTGATCGGCCGGAAGGTTGAAGAATACGCCCAACGAGAATGAGGGAATGTAAACTGCGAGATGTTTCCACCGGGTTCTTGATTTCTCGAATACCCATTGAATCTGAGAGTACATCATCTGCGATTCATCCTCTCGTCTTTCTTCAGCGCGGAGGGAGAGATTTAGTGGGAGAGTTCCCAGATGCTCCAGCCAATATTCAAAGCCCGTGCGCATCTGTTCGTACAACTCAGGTTGCGATTCAGGGTATGGGATTGACCGGGGAATCACAAGATGTAAGGACGACCACAGCTCGGGGGCTTGTAATGATGTAGTCCGCCAGGAACTGCAGACCCTCCCGAGTAGCAGCGGTGGCTCTGCAGCATCCATGATAGGGTGCTTCCGCAAGCAACGACAGAAAATCTCTTGTAGCAGCTCCGTCGGAAGACTATGGATAGTGGTAGTGTTTGTATCAGCCGGGTCGGCAGGGAGCTCGGCAATTTCCAGCAATGTATTAGCCTCAAACCATCGAAGTTCATCACGTTCAGACGTCAGCGTGGCAAGCTTCTGGGTCAAGGAAGTAATTTCAGCTTCAACATATGTCAGTCGAGCTTTTGCCGACTTTTCATCCGATGGTGATGGTGATGGAACGGACATGTCTTGAGAAGAGTGCTGTCAGTATAGTAGAGCTTACTTGGATTGTATCCTCGTACTCACTGCAAGTGATAGTGTACCACAGACTCGGAACACGTAGCTCTAGCGTGAATCACGGTGGCTGAGCTGTAGATTTGCCGCCTTTAAAACGCCGCCACTAGCTCATCAAAGATGGATATCAGAATCACAACTGCCCGATTGGGATATCCTTTATTCGACAAATACTGGCTACCATTACGTTCGCATTACAAGCACATGTATCAGTATCGTTAACAGCACTGTTGGTATATCTGGTCCAAACTTCACCGACCTGTTGATACTCTCAAACCCCTTAACCGTGGAATTCCCGTAGTAAAAGCTATCTCCATCGTCTGGGTCTCCCAGTATGACTAGGGCGGCCCCAGCGCCTGGAACGTTCACGGTGCACCCGTCTATACAATCGAGAGAGAATGTATCCTGGTTCCCGACCAGCTGACCTAAGCCCCCCACTGTCTGGCCAGCCCATGAGATGTTACTCTTTTCCAATACAGAAGGCGCGAGGAGTAAGCGGTAATGCAGGGAGGCCGTCATATTGGCTGGGATAGCATAGACCTGTTCGTCACCCTGTTCGCTCAGATTGAGGAGCACGATCTTTCCTCGCGTGGACCCGGCATCGTACACTCCATACGCAGCTGATGTCGCGCTTGGATTGTGTAGGGAGTCGTTGAGGTTCAAGTCAACGATAACATTCCCACTAGCGCTGAAAGTTTCCGCTAGGAAGAGTGCTGCGTAGTATGGTGCTCCCGTGATCCATTCGGACGAAGTAGAAGTAGGTGGATCAAAGAGATTATACTGTATTCCGGCCTCCCGCGTGTGAATGTAGGCTCCTGAGAATCCCCGCTCGGCACTTTTCAAACCAGCGTCAATCAGCCAAAGGGCTGCAGCAAAGGTGGAAGAGATGTTAGTGCCGCCGCAAGAAACTGTATTGTATTCCGTAAGAAGAACGGGAATGCCGTCTTCCTTAGCAAGAGCGATGCCGTCCGAGTTCCAATCTAGGTAAGGACCAACTGAAACGGAAATCAGCCGCTGATCAATGAAAAGGCAAGTGGCACACCTTCCATGTGTGAAAGATAGTATGTGACGTTAGTATTGTCGTCATTCGGACCTTGGCAAGCATGATTCGGGTAATGCTGTACACTGCAACGTTTCATCAGACACGTAATGGTGGCTGGTTATGAACTTGAGGAACCCACGTGTAGTACTTGTATGGATATTGGTCGAGACCCGCTTGTATAACATCGGATAATGACCTACGAGACAATTGAGCCTTCCAAGGTATGCAAAAGTCAAAGGCGTACCACTGCGCACAGCAAATTGTAGGACCGCCAAGCACGGCATCATTAATAATGTCCTGTTCTTCCATATCTCCAATGACATAGCCTAATTCCGAGATCTTTGCACGCATTTATTGAGAAATTCATAGATGAGAAAAGGGACTAACGTAGGTCGTTAGGTTGTAGTCTGTCCTCGTGCCATGCCCGGCATACAGATCCGGTTCCTTGTTTCAAAAGTCAGTAAGTGGGTAGAAAATTAGATATAGCTTACATTTCCCAACAGCATCGCATCTAACTTGTCGCCCAAAAGCTCTCTCGCATCTTTGGCTAGTTCCAGCACGTTTTGGTCGTTGGCCGGGTCTCGCATGCTCAGGCCAATAATAAACTGCATCGGCTCAACCTCATCATACATTGCATTCATGATGTCAAACAGTACGCGACTGAAATTGACCGGGATATCATTGAAGTATGCATCCGGGTCCGTAAGTTCGAGCATCTTGGTGATACTTGATCCGACATATATCGACCTGCAAAGACATCAATCACCGAAACATCACAAAGGTAACGCCAATTCACACACCCATCCATCCCGTTCCCACCAACACGGATCCGAAGAGGCGCGCTCGTGCGAACATTAATGTTATGCAGATAGTTGACCATTGCGTCTGGTATCGTGTCCACAGTAGTACCCCCTACATGACCAAAGTCAACCAAAGGCACCTAGAATGTGGAAAATCGCGTACTCACACAATGTATCGAACGAGCTCAATTCGAACGAAATTCCCA